AAGTCCAGACGCTTTTCTTTGCAAGCTCCTTTGACTACGATGACCTGGATGACTGAGAACCTTCACAGACATCAGCTTGCAGCACTGGATTGTATTGTCTACCTCAAGTTTCTAACATTGCTTACTACGAAGCACAGCATCAGTGAAACACATGGCATGTGAACTAATGAAAGCATCAGAAATATGACTGCTGCACTAAGCAAAGAGGAGCTTTCTCAGCGTCAAACCATGTCTAGACAGAAGGTCTCTGAGGAGGGTGTGCACAGCACTCTAAAACACTTTACAGAAACTTTATCAGCTGTATCCAAAGTACAGAAAAAGTGACCACAACATCAGAAGATCAATACATCAAGCTTGGTTCACTGACAGATAGAAAAGCAACTTCATAACAGACACTGCCTTTAAAATATTAAAAAAATGCAAGACTCCAGTCAGAGGAGTAGTGCAGAAAGAAGATTATCTGGATCTCTTCTCATCTGCATGAGTTGAGGTCTATAAACCGTTTCTCAGGAGGGGAAACACAACAAACGCTTGGTTTGGCATTGGAAAAACTCCTACAGTATTTACTCAATAATCAAAAGTTTGACATGACTGCAGTACTTCACTTTAGCTGCACAGCGTAGGCCTGCTTTCATGAAGGCAGGGTGTAGTAAGGATGTGCTGAAGAGAGTTATTATAGTTGTGTTTTCTAATTGGTTACTATTTTTATTAAGCTTTGACTTTCTGTCTGTAGTTTAGTTTCAGTTGATTTCCTGAGTGGGCTTGTTTGTTTAGTTTAGTTTTACTGTTTTAACAGTCTTTTTAAAAAAAAAATAAAATTACTGTATGTATAGAATACACCAGAGGAAGGATTTAGGAATATCAGTATAGGTATTGAAATAAAAAGACATAACTTTTGACTCGCATTCTTGTAAATATCCAAAGTCTCGATAAACATGTCCATTAAAGGCTCAAGACAAGTTGTAATAACAAATTAACAAGGACTAAAACTAAGGCTATTGTTTCTATATTTTTATTTTATTTCAGTTTTCCCACTAACAAAAACATATTAGGTTGTTTTTGAAAAGTTTATTGTTGTTTTTATCTTTGTTAACTAAAATGCTAGTTTTAGTTTTAGTTTAGTTTTAGCTAAATATAAAAACATTGGTGCTAAAGCAAACAAAAATATAGAGAAGAACACCACAGAGTGTCAAAATTCAACTTTGAGGGTGTTTTACTGACCACCCTGTGAACAGGGAGAAGCAGCACTCCATTCCTCAGAGATATGCTAAACCTTCTGGTTTCAAAACAAACAGACATTTTCAGCGTGTGACCTCAACCCCATTAATAATTTAAGAGGTTCTGAGAGAGACAAGAACTTCTTAAAATAATAGAATTGGACGAACTTGAGTCCACATTAGCCAGAAAGCATCAAATCATTAAAGCAAAAGAAGTGTAAATAAACTTTTTGCTTAAAATGTGAAGTTGATCATTTATGATTTATTTAAAAAACATATTAAAGTTAAATCTTCATTTTTGGTCTCAGATTGGTGCTTTTTTTAAAATGCCTGCCTATATTTTTACTTACTGCCAATAACAGTTAGTAATGTTATTACAGCTAGAGGTAGAGCAAGTCATCTACCAACTGGAAGGTTGGTGGATCAATTCCCCGGCTACCATAATCATGTCCTTGAGCGAGATACTTAACTCATTTCTGAAAACTGTTCTGTTTTCCTAATCCAACTGTGATCTGCATGCTGTTTCCCAGCTTTTTCCAATCTAACTGTCTTTTCCGACCTATTCTAACTTGGACAAGTGAGGAGATGAGAAAAAAAGAAAGAAAAGAGGCAAACCAGTAGAGGGCAGTATGGTGAACTGTAACTGTGACCTTACACCTAAGGCATACAGCAGTACACAGAAGTGCTGGAAGCCTTCTAAAGAGGCAGGAAAAATACAGAAGTAATGCTAACTTTCTGTGGTCTGTGTGTACACTCACCGTTGAGCCCTTATCTGTGAGGTAGCTGATTCCTTCCTCTGGTCCGATAGCTAACTCTACTGATATTACCCAGCTAGACTGGAGGGGGAGGAGAGACACAGTGCAGAAATGTAAATTTTGACACATAGCTCATATTTCATCACATCATGTACTTACACAAATTTTACAAAAGCTCTAATATACTCCTCTGTTTTTGATGTCTAATGGCATTTATAACAGAGTTAGGTTTGAAGTTAAAGTAATAAGGAGAAATACTGACTCTACAAAACCTGAAATAAGTAAGTGTGAAAGCGAACACTACCCTGTGCATGATAAATAAGCTCCAGCCTCCCACCTCATGACTTTGGTTATATTTCAGTGTATGGCTAATACATTAAAAACATGTCATTATTGATCTTTACATGTAACATTATCTCAATATACCGAGAGTCCTACCCCTAAAGCGCATTTGAAGCACTCCTTGTCGAAGCGGTAGATGGGAGAAAGTATCTCAAAGAACTTGTGGATGCTCTGTTCATCATTGAGGTTAGCAAACTGCTTAAAGGTCTGCTGGATCTGCTTACGAAGAGCCTTCGGCTGAGAGAGAGAGAGAAAAGGGGAAGGACAAAACACTTAAAAGAGTAAGGGCTTTCTGGGAAACAGCTGAGAACAAGCCAAGAAAAGCACAGCACACAACTGACAGGCCCCACTGTGAGTGACAACAGGAAGTTTAACTTAATTCCAGACAATCTGACTGATCAGACATTTAGCCAAATGTCCTTTTAGTCATCGGGTTTGTTTCCCTGCCAGTCAGCCAAACAGCCTGTCAGCTCTAACTCAGCCGATACACAAAGCAGGAGTCAGATGCAATTTGTGCTTTGACACCATTGTTACCAGAAAGTGGGTTGACAGTTAGTCACTAAGTGGGTTTAGATTATTATGTTAGTTTAATCTCACCTTAAGGGAGTCAAGGAGGCTTTTGGGGAAAAACCTTCTCAAACCAACATCTTTCCTGAAATGAAAGAATAGTGCCACAACATTTTTCTTTGGACTAATTTACCTCAAAATAAAAGATTTTTTGGAAGCATACACTCAAGACAGCATGACATGACATAACACAATCTTACTCTAGTAGCTCGTAGTTTGATTTCTTATCCAGGGCGTTGCCTGGCATCTCTCTGAAGAACCGCCTATATAATTCACAGAAAAGATTAACATATAAACAGGATCAACAACTAGCCTCAAGTATTCAGGACAACTTCTATATGTGGGATTTAGACAGATTTAGCAAACACACGTGACACACTCAAGTTCATTGTGGTTTGAAGTGTATCAAATACCAAAACACCTGTAATCTGTGTGTGTGTGTCTGATGAGCACGTTCTCACCTTATCTCCAAACAGCCCAGTTTCAGTGCAACATCTTGATCCACCTGGTCAGCTATGTGTTGCATGTAATCACTCTTTACCTGAA